GCCACATAAGCCGTGTGATGGTAGGTGGCACTTCCAAACATGATGCTTACGTTTAACTTCCCAATTATGTCGATCTTATCACCAGATGCAGTCTGAAGGGTAACACAGGGTGGCGTCCAAATTAGTTTATCTTTAAACTGTTCAGCTAAATCTTTCCTAATGATGGTAACATTAGCTCCTGTGTCAATGATCATATTGTAAGGAATATGATCATTGACATCCATGAAATATTGCAGTGACAGGATTTCCCTCGTTTCTCTTGGGCACTCCGTAAAGGCGAGGTGGGACAGACTTTCAACATCCGTGGCGAGCTCCTCAAGTGTTTCGGTGAGCTTCTGCTGACGGGATTTTAGTTGAAGTCTGCTGTAGTCATATTGCAAGGTTATCGATATTCCCATTAATGGACAGTCCGTTACTGTTGCCACTCACTGTATAAATTTTAAGCGCTTTAAAACAAGGTTTTTCATTCTGTGGCAACCTCTGTTCCTTGATATGGTCACTAATTTGTTTCCTGTATTGTTGCTGGGAACTGGTCTCAATTTTCGTACCCTGGGGTGTTCTGCAATTCTTTCGTACGTGGCCTTCAGCTCCACAGTTCCAGCACTTTGGTTTCTTGTCAGTCCTTTTCTTTCCCATGGCATTTAATTGTCTGCTTAAATCGTATGCCTTAGGTTCCGTGCCCTGGGGTGTTCTGCAGTTCCTTCGTAGGTGGCCTTCACTACCACATCTCCAACACCTTAGAGCCACTTTCTTCTCGCTCCTATTCCGTATCAAAGCATCGACTTGTCTGGCTAAATCATCTAAACGAGCCATCAGTTGATCCACTGGCTCATGGACTCGCACAGCTCTAACTGGGTAGCGATCTCTACTAGTTACTTGCTGGGCTGCCTCGAACTTCATGGCGTACAGCAGAGCGCTTTTTATGTCCTTTACATCTGCTATTCGAAGAGCTTTCTGTATTTCAGGACCCCGGATGCCATCCATGAAATATTGCAGTGACAGGATTTCCCTCGTTTCTCTTGGGCACTCCGTAAAGGCGAGGTAGGACAGCCTTTCAACATCCGTGGCGAGCTCCTGAAGTGTTTCGGTGGGCTTCTGCTGACGGGATTTTAGTTGAAGCCTGCTGTAGTCTTTTAAACACTTCTCTCCAAAGCACAGCTCCAATGTGCCGGATAGAGCTTCAAAGTCTAATCTCTGGTTTTCGGGAAGAGTCTGCAGGATATCCGCTGCGTCTGCTCTCAAAGAAGTGGCAAGATGACAGGCCTTAGCTTGGGAATCCCATCCATTCGCTTCCGCCACTATAGAAAATTGTGTCCTATACACTTGCCAGGAGGTCTTCCCATCATACGTAGATAGTTTCAGAGAGGAACGAGCAGGCATTGGTAAAAATTTAAAACCATCCCAATTGCTCCCTGCTGTCGCTAAGAATTTCTTTAAAGTATCCACTTCCTTGGCGACCGCAGAAACCCGGTCATCAATTTGTTGTTCGATTTGTTTTTGAAAGGAACAAACTCTTCCTTCTATTTCTTCTTTGGCCGAATCAACTCTGTAACCTATTTGTTGTTCCACAGCCGAAACTCTGTCTTCTATTTGCTCTTTCACAGAAGAAACTCTATAATCGATTTGTTGTTCTGCGGCCGAAACTCTCTGTTCTATTTGTTGTTTGACAGAAGAAATGTTTTCTTCAATTTGCCCAACTTTGTTTTCAACCGCGTCCATTCTGCCTTCCATAGCCTCAAATTTATTTTCTCTTATGCAGGTAATTTCCCTTTCCATCTCTTCCTGTCCTGCTTCAATCTTCTCTTGACCTGCTTGCATCTCGCCTTTAATGGATTTCATCTCTTCCTTAACGGATTCTTGGCCCAATTTCATCTCGTCCTTAACGGAGTTGACGGCCCCTTCCATCTTTCCTTGGCTAGATTTCATCTCTTCTTTCATTTCTTCTTTAAACGAGGCAAGGGCTGATATCAACTGCCTTACCTGCTCTTCCATCACTCTTGTTATTGGCATTCAAACCCCACTCCTGACACCAAAAATTGTTAAGTGCGGACGGGTTCGTTACGAAATGAATGCACAAGTTCGATGAAAAATTAACAAAAATTTATTATTCTAACAACAAATATGATTAAATGTCCTCAAATAATCGGGCAGTATCACAATATATCACAGTAGTTATCTTTTAACTACTCAAACGTTCAAAAGAACTCAATTCAAAACAGCTAAAGAAAGCTAATCCGCAAATTCACTTCAATCAACAAGAGCAGGTTTTCTAAACAACAGCAAACTAAGTAATTACTACGAACTGAGATGTTTTCCTCTTTTTATAAGATTTTAAAATCACGCGCTAGAATTCTCTAGTACTTTCTCGAAATCAAAAAGAGATATTTATTTATTTAATGCACGCGCTCTTGCATTTTCAATTTTCCGGCTTAGCTTTCTTTTAATATTGGTCACGTGCTACACTGCGCGAGAAATTTATAATTGAACTAACATTAGCTTTTTAAATACCAAATTCGTAACAGTATAAAATATTTAACAAAGCTTTGTCAAATCGAAAGCTTCAGCTTTTAGAGGAAATAAATCTGCTTTTAATTTAAAGAGATGCCATGATATTTTAAAATACAGTCAAAAGTCTTTAATCCAGACGTCCAAAATCCGGAATGATCTATAATCCAGACCTCAAAGCTACAAACTTTCTGCGCATGCGTAAACGCATGCGCTTTTAATGTATAATGGACGGTATAAGCTAAGCTAAAATTATCTAATTATCTATTTCAGTTAATGTTGCAGATTGCTTTTGTTCCTTAATCTTCTAATTGGATCCAGCTTATTATTTTTTGCAGACTGTTAGAGCAATTTTATAAAACTAAGCTTGAACTTTTGATTATGTCAAAAGGAATTTCCGATTCTGGAGCTGCCAAAGGATCTACAAAGCAAAAGAATGTTTCGATGTCCACCAAACAAAAAATGTAATTCCTGCAAAAAATGGATAAAGGCATGTCCTTTGTTTCTCTAACCATTCTGAAATCTGTTTATCAATTTCACACTGGTCTTGGGGGGGGGGAGGACATCGCGGCGCGCAATGAACTGGAAGTTGATTTGTCAGCACTATCCTTATCTTCAGGGCAGATGTTTTTATTTTATTCGGATTATAATTCCTTACTAAATGTAGTATTTCATCTTGATGTACTCCATCTTTGATATGATTTAAATCAAATTCCTTGTCATTATAAATATCATGAATACACATCAAATAGTTTTCTGGTTGCAATTTTCTAATTTCATCTATGCGTAATGTATGCTTTATGAATTCGCGCGTTGAAAGAAATGTTTAATAAAGTAAACAAATAAATATTAAGCTTTTTTTTCTAAATTTTGATACCCTTTAGATCATAATTGCTCTTTATTTCATAAAGTACATTTTCATATTTTTAATTTTATAATTTCTGCATGCCATCTTACCAGATTTAAACTGATGATCTATAATCACCGAAGTACCGACGAGTCCGGATTAAAGTCTTTTGACTGTATTTCTCTTTCTTATCCAAGCTTGATTTCCCAGATATTCATTCAAATAATCATAATATCCAGTTGCCAAATATTTAACATCTAGACCTAGTACTGGATATCTTTCGTATTCCTAGTACAGTCAAAAGGCATTAATCCGGACTCGTCGGGACATCGACGATTCCGAATAATAGATCATCAGTTTAAATCTTGTAAGATGGCATGCAGAAATTCTAAAATTAAAAATATGAAAGCATAATTTATGAAATAAAGAACAATTATGATCTAAAGGGTATCAAAACTTACAAAGAAAAAAAGCTTAATATTTATTTATTTACTTTATTAAACATTTCTTTCAATGTAAGTTGCTTTGTTTTATGTGATAATACTTTCTCTTTAATTCTATAAACAGACATAATTTCTTGTTCAGTTACAAAGTTCCGCTGTTCAAGTCCCGTTAATTGCTGTGCCGAGAATGCCGACTAACTTGTCAATCGAAATTTTTTCGTTTTCACTAACCTCTCTGTCACATTCTTCATGTCTTTATCCATTTTTTGCAGCAATTCCACTTTTTGTTCGATGAACATCAAAACATACTTTCGTTTTGTACGATCCTTTGGGAGCTCCACAATCGGAAATTCTATTTGACATAATCGAAAGTTTAAGTTTACTTTTATAGCAAAAAATAATAAGCCGGATCCAATTCGAAAATTAAGGAACAACGCAATCATCAACATTAACTGAAATCGATAATTAGATAATTTTAGATTATACTGTCCGTTATACATAAAATGCGCACGCGAAAACGTATTCTGCGCTTGCGCACACTCATATGCGCAGACGTAAAAGGTCTTATGCGCATGCGTAAACGCGGCGCATGCGCAGAAAGTTTTTAGCTTTGAAGTCCGTATTATAGATCATTCCGAATTAACAACTTTTGACTGTAATTAGTGGCAATGATTTTAATACATATCAGCTTGCTTTCTGTAAAGTATTGGAAGCTAACAGAAAAAAAAAAGGGGGCGAGGTTTTTATGCAACTGATACCTGTTGTCAGAAATTCAAACTTTGATGAAGCTATAAAAATTTCTTCTTACAATGTAATTATCATTATGGCCATGAAATGCATTTTCTTATATCCTCTTCATTAAAATAAGGGGAATGCATGAAAACTGCTTTTTGTCTGATAAAATGAAATTTTACATTAAAGGCCACATTGTAAAAATCTTTTATAAACTACAAAGGGAAGGGAAATTAGTATATTTCAATAGTTGAATTCTAGGGATGCTTCCAGTATCTGTATAAATATGCAAGAGATGTATAGCGTTAGGCAAAGATGTGTGTAGAAGGTGAGATGCGCATAGATTGTTCCCCCACCCCATCCATTCTTCTTTTTTAATGAATTTTAAAACTTTATTAATGCATAGTAAGTAGTAAATGCTCATTTTCTTGTATTTTCAAAACTACTGGCTAAATTTTTTTTTGTTCTCAAAGTTTTTTTCTAGGAGCTTCTGTAGCTTGTGAAAATGGACTTAGACGTAAAGAAAAACAAACGATTAAGGATTATAATACATTCCTTCTCGAAAAAAAGATATCAGACACAAAAATGATGAATGACATGTTAAAAAGGTATCAGTTTCTTTTCTCTGTTACAAGCTTGACTGATGAAAAAATTGTTTGCTCATGCTTACAACATAAACAACTAATTAACATGAAAACATTTGCTTAATACAAGTGTTGTTATGAAAATTTTGAAAGTTAAAGATGTTTGATCTAAATGATGTAATAAAATTAGTATAACTTTCACTTCATTAAATAAAACCATAAAAATACGAGGGTTGGAGCAAAAGTCATGGCAACTATTCTTTTCTTGTAGATATGTGAACGGATCACAAAACGTATATGTGTCGTGTGGAAGTTCTGCAGGCACAGTGTGTATGCAGAACAACATATGACTCTGTGAAAGCGAGGGCTCTGAAATCAGTCAGTTGGTGAGTGCCGTGCGAGATAAAAGTAACCCATGTTGAGCAGCGCGCTTACATCAAAATAGCCATTCTCCGAGGGAGAAATGCTATGGAATGCCACAGTGAATTAGTAGAAGCCCTTGGGAATAATGCCCTACTATATTGTACAGTAGCACGGTGAGTAGGAAAGTTTCAGCAAGGACATGTTTCAACCAGTGATGAGCAACTTTCGGGACGACCGGTGAGTGTGTGGACCGACTTGGCACGTGCCGTTATCGAGCACCTCATGGATGAAGACAAACGATGGACATTACTGGAATTAGAGTGGCAAGTAGCATCGAGAAACGCACCGTCCACAGGATATTGCATAATGAGCTAGCGTCAGAATCCTTCCCCAGTCAAATTGATGGTTATCGTCGCATATGATGTCAGAGGTGTCATTGTTTGCCACTTTGTTCCTCATGGCAGAACAGTGACCACACGGTACTACAAGGACTTCCTGTGCGACAGGTACGACGCGGCATTCGGGATAAACGTTCGGATCTTGTGGACAGTGCAATAATTCTTGCACGACAATGCAAGACCACGTAAAGCAGAATGTGTACGGCAGCTACTCCGACGTTGGGTTTGGGAAGAATTGGAGCACCCAACTGTACTCTCCTGACCTTTTGCCCTGTGACTTTGACCTCATTCCCAAGATTAAGGAACCAATACGTGGTAGGCGGTTTGCAACACGAGACGACATTGCTAATGCTGTGCGCCAACAGATGACCCAATTCACGCATGGTGCAGCAAATGCTGAGGCTGATGGTATTCAGCGCCTCCCACATCGTTGGCGGCGTGTGGTGACAGTAGCAGGGGACTACATTGAGGATTTTTAGGCCCAGGTTTATCATGTCAACTTTATGTGTATTGTGCTATCATTCTTTTGCACGGTGAAGGCTATATTGCCCTGTGTACTACCGTAATAAATTCATGTGTTACGATATTTCAGTGCTATTCATTGTCCACACATGTAGTTAAGACCTTGTCCTTTCGTCTGTATATATCACATTTTTCAACCGGACTGGTATCTTCAAGAAAAAAAAGTAGTTGCCATGACTTTTGCCCCAACCTACGTATATATATGCTACTGATAAAGTGTGAAACCCAGCATTTTATAGAATGCCGCAAACTCGCCGGCAGTGTATGAAACGATGAAACATTTCACGCATTACCTAGGCATTCTCTAGAATGAACTGGCAAAGCATGAAATAGATCTCCTTGTTACATATAATGCTGGGGAAAGTATATAAGAATTCATGCAATATATTATCATTTAATTTAGAAGTCAAACAATAAAAATCAGTGTTATATTTTCAAAGTTTTTTTTTTTTTGACTCTTAAATTAATATTTGTTTGGCGTGTTATTGTATCTTACATTATCATTTGTAATGAGTGTAACAGTGGATAGTTTCTACCGATTTGGAACTTCTGAAAGAATTTTAAAACAACTATATATGAGATCACAGTTCATTTTATATTCTAAGAATTTCCTTAGAACTGAAGATATTTCTAACCATAAAATTCCTCTCTGGTTAGTTGCAACTGCTTTTGTTCAGTGAATTCAAAATTTCCTTCAAGTCTACCAAGCTGCAACAAATAGATTAATTTTTATTTTTTATGAAAAAATTTGTTGCTCTAAATAAGAAAGCCATAAAATTTATTTTCTACAACTTTCATTTTTCTCTGTGCATTTTGAATAAAAATATTTTAATGGCATTCTTTCATTGTTTTTTCAAAATAACATTTGTGTTTTAAGGATTGAATGTCTTTTGAATAATAGCATTATCATAACCCTTTTATCATACATTGCCTAAAGAGCATTTGTCATACTACAGAATGCCTATGCAATGTATATACAATGCTTAAGTAAGGTATGTAATAATAATACTCATATTTCATACTTTGTCAAAAAATGACAGTCATTCTATAAAATGGCTAGATATTCTGTAGAATGCTGGTGTTTCATACTTTGCTGGTAGCCTATACACTGAATTTTGAAAGGTTCAACAGTATGTATAAATGATTCAGCATTTCTTCAAAACATTGTTTTCCACACATTTTGGCTATATAGTAATTTTATTGGTAAAAAATGTATTCTAGACTATCTCAAAAGAGTAGTCCACCAGTTATTTTTTCCACTTTTATCTGATTATCTATTTTAGTTTTATAGCACCTTAATTTTTATAATATAAAGAAGAATTTTGATGAAGAACAAAAAATGCCGAACTTCTTCTATGCTAAAGGCAGCATAAGACAAAATGTGGGGGTGCTTTGTTGATCTCATCATGTATTTCAAAATTATTATAATAATTTCAAGTTATATAGCTTGGAATCTGAAAAAGAATTCTAGCTTTCAATGAGGAACAAGTAGAAAATCAACAGAAAGCATCCATTTTAATAAAATTAGCAAATTAAATGAAATAAGAATGTTCCATTGATGTTTCAAAATCTCCTTTCTGAGAGCCATTCTTAAAACCTTAAATCTAAAAAATACCAAAACCAGACCACTGAAAAAGTGGTCCAATTATCTCATTCAATAACATGGACTGCAAATAAAGTTAGAAATTTGGGTAAAAATGTACTTTAAGTATAAAAAATAGATGTATGTGTTTACCATTAATGTATGTGTACTTAGTTACAAATTGAGTAGCCTGTTAGTTCATCGGATTGTAATTTTGCTGAAGAAAGGATTATATAATGATGCTCTATGTATGTGCCAGTAAGAATTAATATGAAACTGTAAAGGAGCTAAAAAGCATAATTTTCACATTGCAGCAGAATCTGGAACTAAATATACTTTAAGACAAGGTAGATTTAGTGACAAAAATTGCATATATTATTTTGTTGTAAATGAAGGACTGATGTTATCATTTAAAATAATTTTTTTTTAAGAAGTAAAAATGGATGTACTGTTTTGAAATAGTCTAAAACCCAATTTTTATCTATAAAAATGCTAGATGACTAAGTTTAAATGTGTAAACATGTACAGAGAAGGGTTCCCCCCAATAAATAACTTCAAAAAAGTGCTCAGACAAAATGAGCTCAAAAAAGTATCCAAGTTCCTAAAATCAGGAGTATGTGTAATCAATGCTGCTTATTTCTCCAAATGAATAACTGTTTGCATTTTCATGTATATGCAAATCAATTTAGATATATGATAGCAAAATTTTCTTACTTCGTACCATGTTGATTTATTGATAGCATTTATTTAAATGTTTACTAATTTTAGCAAAAGGGATAAACTTAATTATCTTGAAGTTTAAATAAAATTTTCAATATGTTGCATTCATTTGTTTAGTTATAAATGTACATTCTTTCCATGTAGGGAAATAGAGGATGTAAAAAAAGTATTGCATATTCAAAATTCTTTGGATAATAATTTCAATGAAAATACTTCATTTGTAATGCATAAAATTGAAGACTATAAATCAAGAATGAAAAAACTAGAAGTAAGTAAAGAATTTTTATTTTAATTTTTTCTGCTTTATGTTTGTTCTACAACTCAGTAAATACTTTATATAAGGCTTTATAGTCATATTTTATAGAAATTTATATGATATTGTGCACTATATAATATTCTGTAATGTCATTATCCCTAGCAGAAAATTTTTTAATTTAAACTCTTTAGAAATTTGCTTGTTCTAACTTACTGTATTTTTTTAGAGAACTGAATGTATTTAATAAGAGCAGTAATTCTCTGATTATAAGTATTGAAGTGTGTTTCAAAATAAAGGGTCTTTTTTTGTTAATCTCTGCCATTATTTCACTCTTTGGGGATGGTTTCTTATCACTCCTATTCCGTCTCAAGACATTGACTTATCTGTTTGAATCGTTGGTCTTGTTTTCCATGCTGTGGGGTGTTCTGCAGTTGCTTTGAACATGGCCTTCAGCAGCACATTTCCAGCAGTTTAGGGTTTGTTTTATGTCACTCATATTCCATCTTGAGACATTGAGTTGCCTGGTTAAGTCACCTAGACCAGTGGTCGTCAACCCTTAGAACTTCACGGACCACTACATATATAATTTTATATTTGGCGGACCACTAATATGAATTAAAAGAAACCCTTAAATCAGACTTTAAAAACAACATATTAATACCCAAAACAATATTCAACTTTACAATACATGTAATTCTAATTTTCATTTGTTAGTATAATTTTTGAAACTTTTGGTGTTTAGCAGCATGACTTTGGGAAATTCAGGCTACACCCCTGATTATGAGTAACAATTAAAACGTTATTAACATCTCACTGATACCCATATTTCATTCACATTGAAAAATTATATCAAAAGTACAAAAATCTTACCTTCTTGTACAGAAAACTTCACATTCCCATATTACTGAAAAGGAATATGAAAAGCAAGAACAAACCGGCAAACGCAAACAGTATCAACAAAGTGTTATGCTGCCAATTTTTAATTATTGTAAACATAATAATCATCGCTTACTCAGAAATGGCACCATCGACCAACAGTTAGACAAAACAAAAATGGAAACTTCCAGTGATGCCATTATAAACCAGAATGCAGATGGTTCTCATAAAAATCAAGTTGCCTATTGACACAGAGAAAAACTGTGTTATCAACGACTAAAATAGCATATGTTTGTAATTCAAAAGAAAAGAGAATTCCAGTTTCCGCTATTATTGACAACAGCAGCATATCCATGGATGCCATCTCTCATTTTCAAATGTTGCTAGATACACCTGCAAACGTAACTAAAAAGTTGCTAAATTCAGAGAGAATTTCGCTAAAAGTAGTAGCTAAAATTAAAAAAAAAAAAAAAAAAGTATAATCCATATTACACATTAGGTTTTGTTACTCATCATTTTTTAAACTGAATCTTCATAAAAATATAAATGTCCCAATTTTTCTGTGGACAATCAAAAAGTTTTTACGGACCACCAGTTGGTGACCGCTGCTCTTAATGAGCAGCCGTTTCATCCACTGACTCTTGGACTTGCACAGCTCTGATTGGTCTCTCTATGAATTGCTTGCTGGGCTGCCTCAAATTGCATGGCATACACTAGAGTGCTTTTTAAATCCTTCATATCTGCCATTCATAGAGCTTTCTGTATTTTAAGATTCTGGATGCCATCGATGAAGTACTGGAGGGACAGGATTTCCCTTGTTTTTCTTGAGCACTCTGAAAAGGCAAGGTGAGACAGCTTTTCAACATCCATGGCGAGCTCCTGGAGTGTTTCGGTGGGCTTCTGTTGACGGGATTTTAATTTAAACCTGCTGTAGTCTTTCAAACATTTCTCCCCAAATGCACTGGATAGAGCTTCAAAATCTAGCCTTTGGTTTTCTGGGAGAGTTTCAGGGATATCTGCTGAGTCTGCTCTCAGAGAAGCAGTGACAGTCCTTAGCTTGGGAATCCCATCCGTTCGCTTATACCACTATTGAAAATTGTGTCTTATACACTTGCCAAGAAGTCTTCCCATCATATGTGGATAACTTCAGGGAGGGATGATCAGGCATGGATAAAAATTTAAAACCATCAGAATTGCTCCCTGCCATCACTATAAATTTCTTTAAGGTGTCAACTTCTTTCGTGACTGCAGAAAACCCTGTCATCAATTTGTTGTTGAAATGGCAGAAACTCTTCCTTTGATTTGTGCTTTGACAGAAGAAACTCTGTAATCTATTTGTTGTTCCATGGCCGAAATTCTCTTTTCTATCTGTTCTTTAATAGGAGAAACATTTTCTTCAGTTTGTCCAACTTTATTTTCAGCCGCATCTATTTTGCCTTCCGTAGCCTCAAATTTGTTTTCTGTTATGCAGGTAATTTCTTTTTTCATCTTTTCTTGACCACCTTCCATTTTTTCCTTAACAGATTCTTGACCCACGTTCAATTCTCCTTTAATAGCTTTCAAATCTTCTTTAAGGGAATCTTGGCCAGCTTTCATCTCTTTTTTCACAGAGTTAATGGCCCCTTCCATCTTTTCCTGGAATACAACAAAGACAGACAAAAGCTGTCTTAATTGTTCTTCCATCGCTGTTGTTACTGGCATTCAACACCACTCCTGACACCAAAAAGTGTTGCATGCGTATGGGTTCATAATAGATTGAATGCACAAGTCCAATGAAAGGTTAAAAATTTTTCTTACCAAAAGAAATATAGCAGAATGCTGGATTTTTCCTCAGAGATATTCGTACATGCGATATAATCAGTAGCTATACTTTAAACCAGTGCTCCACAACCTTTTCTCACCTGTGACGCACAAAAAATCTTCTGGAATTTCGTGGCACACCAAAGAGTTCCGAGTTATCAAGGAAGTGCCGAAAAAATTCAAATGCTGACACACTTACAATCACACACACAACAGTGAAATATATAAAAACATTTAAAATAGACATTATTAAGGGAAAAAAATTGTCATTTTGTATTAAATACATGATAAAAAATTGCAAAATGTCAAATACATGTATTTGATTGCGGCACACCTATATCCTACTCATGGCACACCAGTGTGCCACGGCACACCGGTTGCGGAGCACTGCTTTAAACTACTAAAACATTGAGTACAATGCAATCCACAGCACAGAGAAAGCTAATCCAGTCAGCATAATAACATCAGCTGACTAAACAACAACTGAAGATGAGATGTTCTCTGTCTGGCTTTTTCTAGCTTTAAATCAGATTCTAGTAATTTCTGCTTCTCGAGATTTCTGGAAAGCAAAACAGTAGAATTACGGTTACAGCTAACATAGTAGTTAATTACATTTATTCAGTTTCTGTACAAATAAGAGAGATATTTATTTATTCAATGTTAAATGCGCATGCTTTCCAGCATAGCTTCTCTTAAATCTCGTCTTGTGCTACATTACACGGGAAAATAAAACAATTTTAGTTATAATTTTACTAAAAATGTCTAACTAAATACAAAATTCGTAACACTATATTAAAATACATTCTGATAGTATTAACTGTCATCTTGGAGTATAGAGTTGTGAGCTGAGTAATTTTTTGTCTGTATAAAAAAAGGCATAATTGAGAATTTTATTTTGATGTGTGTTATTTTATTTTGATTTCATTTTAAAAGAAACAAAAAATTATTATGTTTAAATTTTCAGAGACGTTTGGAAAGTGCAGAATATGACTCCATGTTTAGTCACAGTGATCTAGTTAAAAAGGCAGAGGTAATTTTTTTTAATTTTATTCTCTAAAATTTTTAACTATAATTTAAGCTGAAGGATTATTGTTTCAATTATCAACCAAATTTAACCACAGAAGATTTGATAGTTCTAATAAACAAATATTTTCTAGATAAATTCAGTCAATTAACCCTTTTATAATTTGTACAACATAATAGAGCCATTTAAATATTTTTCACATTACACAAAAGAAAACAATACATTACAGCTGACGGTTTCGAGGGGGGAGAGCTGTGCGGTCAAGGTGAAATATTTTTATACTGAAAATCAATTTTTTTCAGGGAGGGCAGCTGCATATTGCAGATCTTTTTAATTCCTAGTTTTGAAAATTATGAATGTTTGTAATAAAAGAACTTATTAAATAATGAGTCTATATTTATAATGTAATCACTATTTAAATTTGGGTGAAAATATGTATTCGTTCTCTTTTCAGTTTTTAAGAAAAATCGTAATTCTTGTTGAAGAACACGAGAAACCTATGTGAGATAAACTTTGATATTTCTTTGTTATGATAGTGAATCATAGTACCAACAAGAAGCTCTATTAATTTAATATTTTCAAAACTAACTATTGAATGTGTGGCATTGGTTTTTCTTGAAAAGTAAAGGCTCATTTCCTCTAGACCTGTGTAAAAAATGCAAAAATCATATATACAAATATAGGGGAGCTTTGTCTGATAAAAATAAGCCAAAAGAAATTAAATAATTTAAAATTTGAATCTTTTAAAATATTATCTTTGGGTAAACAGAGACTCATTTTACATGGTGTATTATTAATACTGAATATATAGGGGAGCTTTGTCTGATAAAAATAAGCCAAAAGAAATTAAATAATTTAAAATTTGAATCTTTTAAAATATTATCTTTGGGTAAACAGAGACTCATTTTACATGGTGTATTATTAATACTGAATATAGGAACTCAGCAGAAATTACAATTTCTGGCAGTAAACTGTACAGAATCTAAATTTAGGAAAATTTATGGATCAAAGTTAAGTGGTCAGGATGCTTTTCATCAGAAGGCAGTTCTTAATTCACTTAATTTGACTTGAATTCAACAATTCAATTTACAGAACTCGCTTCTCCCATTAATCTTTTCAACTGCAGAATGATGCATTTTCTCTTACCTATACAAATGCCCTTGAACACATAAACTTTAAATTTTCCATATTAGTAACTAGCACTAGCTGTCTAGATTCTCAACTTTGTTTTTTACGAGAGGCTGTGAGTGAAATTCCTGAAGATTAAACTATGGAACAGAGATAATTGTAGTTCACATATAGCTGGAAGTTTAGATTTTTTACGTTCTCAGATTTGGAAATTCTGGATTTTGGAAATTCCATGTAGATGTAATAATTGCCATGTATCATATAATGTCTACTGGAAAATTCTGTCTGTATGGAAAGGAAAGAAAATAATACATTTTTAATACCTTTTAATACTATTTATTGTACAATATAATTTCTGTGGGTTACAATGGGGTTACAATCACCTCTACCTAAGGCAATGCTTAGTCAACATTGTCTCAATCAGATAACAGTTTTTAATATGTTTTTCTAAACTGGAAAAAACATATTTCCTACATTTCTAATAAATGTGAGAGACTTCAGCATGGGCTGAATCGAATTGCATGTAATAGCGTTGGTGTTAAATCGAATGTTAGCGCAATTATTTATAAACAAGGCATTGTACCCTTTATTTCATATGGATGTAGAGCTCGGGGATTGTCTCTAAAAAAGAAAATTAACTCTAACTTTGAGTTCAAAGACTAATTTTACTGCGAGTTATAAGGGGTTACCAAACTATTAGTTACAGTGCTGTTTTCTCTCTTGCCGGATTTCCACCGCTCGATTTTGTTTATTTTGACCTTTATAGATTACAAGAATAGTCTTGCAAACTGCTCCAGTTCTCATTTTGATGGTTTATTGCCCTTGTCTGTTCTTCCATATCCTTCTGTAAGACAACCAGTGCAGATCCTGGATAGTGTGGACACTGATGTAAATTCATTCTCACTTGTGTTCTATACAGATGGTAGTAAGATTGATGATAAAGTTGTTTTTGCTTATGTTATTTTTTGAAGATGATGTTGGAATTGAGTACCACCAATTTCGCATTAGAAATGAATGTACTGTATACATTTCTGAGCTTTTGTGTATTAATTTTGCAATTAAGTGGCTAATTAGCCAGGATGGACGTGGTGCCAGTTACTTAATCTGTATGGATTCACTCTCTTCCCTGGAGTCTTTTAAAAATACCTCTTCATGTAATGATAATGTTAATATACAGCAGTCTCACGGAGATCTGGAGAAGAAGGGTATTTCAGTGTTTTTTACATTTGTCCGTGGTCATTCGGGTAATTATGGAAACAAGAGAGCTGATTGGCTTGCTAAGAATGCAACTAGAAATGATATTAATGTAAATATTCCAAAATCTTATTTCAAAAAAATATTCAAAGCTAAAATGATTGAGCAGTGGAACTGTGATTATATCTCTTCTAATAAGGAATCTGTTACAAAAACATTCTTCCCAACTATTTTTGAAAGCCTATAAAAAGTAAGGCCTTGTTGCTCAATTTTAAAGTTACGCAATTTTTGTCTGGGCATGGTAAGTTTAAAGTTTATCTTGAGCGGTTTCAGCTGACGTCTTCCAATTTGTGTGAATGCAATCTTGGCGTTCAGTAAAGTGTTTTTCACCTGCTTTTTGACTGCCCATTGCTTGATAAAGCAAGAAATCTATTGAAATGCAGATTAAAATTAATTGGAATTCATCAGCCTCCGAAATGTTACGATTTTGTATCTTCTCCTTCGGCCTACCGAGCTTTCAACAATTTTGTTGACTTTTATTTTAAACATTGTAAATGACTTCTTTATACATTTTTATACTTTTGTATATATATATATATATAATGTTGTATGATTTTAAATTCATTGAGTGTGAAAACAAGTTAATACTACTTGCGCCATTTCTGCAAAGTAAGTTAATTTATTTACTAAACAATATTGATTAACTGATTATATTATCTCCTAAGTTTAATTATAGTAGGATTATCTTAAAAGAGTGAATCCATACTAGTAAGTTATATTTTGAAAGATGTTTTGAAGTAATTACTTTCAAGTTACTTCATCTTTGGCTAATGAAGAATGCACCATTTCTGCAATATTATGTGATTTTATAAACTGCTAGGATTTAGTCAACAGCAGCAATAGATTTTATCTCTGTTCTTTTAAACTATGTGGTAGCAAAGTAATTTTTAAATGCAATGCATTCATAATGGTTCCTATTTCAAAATGTAATTATTGAATGTATGCGATTTTTCATTCCCCTCTATTTGCAAATGTGTATATTATTCATAAAACTTATAAATAATTTGTAAATGTGTACTACATTTTATTGTGTATAAGAAAGATATTTATGGGAGGGGGATAGTGGTGCAATTATAACAGGGAATCTGTTCTCTTATCGTAAATTACCTTTCGGTGCACTTTCATAGTAATACTTCATTCAAAAATTTTCAAAATATAAATGCTTTCTGCATTTTTAAAGAGATAAATGAAAAATTTTAGAACTTCATTAAAATGGTGAATTTATTTATTTCTGATAAATGTTTATGCATGTGTTAGTGATTTTAAATAACTTCATATTTTATTTTTATTTTCCATTTATTCACTTATGCTAGATTACCTACTGTATGAAAAAGAATTATTATGAAACAAAAAATTAAAGAACATACACTTTAAAAAAATATTTCTACTTAACAAATGTCTTCAGAATTAATTACTTTTTATATAAATACTGGCAGCGAAAGTAAATCTATTTATTGTACCGTTTGGGGACACAAGTAAGTTCACTGAGCACTAGCTGGGATATATGAATAAAAATCCATTTACTTTCCTGTCATTCAAAAAGCACGTGATATTACGATTTAATTCTTGAAAAAGATTTAGTTCCAAGATTTTATTTTTAGTTTGACTTAGCTTTAATTACTTCATAAAGTATAGATATTCATAAGCATTTTGTGGGCTCTTACATACTGGATATTATTTCTGACTGTAGTCTTTTTAAAATTATTTCTGTACACTTTATCTCTGTCTTTTGAGTTATGTTTTCATTTATACATGTTGGTTGATGTCTATTGAGTTGCGTGTTCTGCAATATTGAAAGATTTTTTTTGCAGTCATTTCTTGTCCTTCATGTTTAAAATTCTGATGTCCTATAGAAATAATTATTGGTCATTAAGTAATTGATAATTTATGTGTAATTTTGATGTCATCTGTATTCTTGAATATTTTTTAAATATGAATTTTAACAGTCTTTCCTTTGTGCTTTCAAATTAATTTTTGTACTTAAAGAAACACGAATGACATTTTGTTGTCAATCTCTTTTACTTTAAGTAGTTTAACAACTGTATGTTTCTTGATTTATTCTTATATGTACTTAAAAATAATTTTTTTCTTATTTCAGGATATAAACTTCTTAGAAAAAGAAGTCGAGTGTCTTCGTGCAAAATTAGATAGTTATCAGTCATTGCCTCCGGTAATTTATTTTTCATAAATATGCAGAATTATATACTTCATTGTTTTTATTGCCTATTTTTAATAGTTTTTTCTTCCGCTCTTTCTAGAATGAAATGTTAACAAGATTAAAGATAGAAGAAGCTCAAGTTGAACTTGAAAGACTACAAAATCAGTTCTCTGTTTTATTAAAAAAAAATTGTTAACATAACTAGTCACAATTTTTTTAATGTTATCATTTTACTAACTCATATTTTTTTTCCCTCTATGTGTGGTTTGTTAATAAAATGTGATTTAAAATCTCAAGAAGGATCTGTCTAACCTCCTGGCTATAGAGGTAGCCAAAGCTGATCCTTGAAGGCTCATTACATCTTCCATTGGTATAAACTGAAACTTAAAAAAAAAAAAAAAAAAAAAAAAAAAAAAAAAAAAAAAAAAATTAGGAAATAGAACATTTTGATAAATGACATAGCTTTTGTATAAGTTTTACATACATTATACAGACATAAAATGGTTGTATTTTATTAATCAAGTAAAAATAAGCACTGAACTATAATTAAAGAATTTACAGATGTTTCATATAAGCATAAAAAAAAATGTGTATTTATATATTTATATGATTTCCTAATAGAGGTCACAAAATGTAAAATTAATGGAATGTATTAAGAATCAATTCCTGTATTTTTTAACTTTGTATATTTACTTTAATTTTCCAGTTTTCTTGTGTCTTGTTTACCAAATAAATTTAAATAATTGAAAACCTCTACATTTTTATTTGTGTTTTTTGATTTTCTATATCTGTCAGCATTTACTTAACTAGTGTTAAGAATGCTGATATTAGATGGTATTTTATTTTAAATTCGCAGACTAGATTCATAAGCTTTTGTAAGCATTTTATAAGTTTTTTAATAACTATCTGAACATAATATGTCTATCCTAAAGGGGAGATTTTGAATGTGGAAACCTTAAAAACTGAGTACAGAAGTTGCACTTCTATCTCCCATCAGCTGGTATTCAAGATGGGACCATCATCAGTTAACAGTGTCTCTAGAGGATTCTCTTTACTACAAAATGAGGAAATTCTGCCCCTCTCAAGTCCGTTGCAGACAAAGACCTTCGAAAACAGTATCTCGCAGGTACAGAGATGAGAGGTAAAAAAATTTGGTTATGTCTGTTTTATTGAAGCACTGCTTACCTGAGCAATAAAGCTACAATACGTTAAGTATATGAAATACAAAAAGCTTTGATAGGTAGAAATTTGATATTCTGGCACTGAAGAATCAGTCTTTTACCAATTTGAGATTAATAAGCAACGGAGATGAATTAAACAGTGGTTTTTCTGTTGATTAGCAATTTTTTTTTTTTTTTTATTTATTTATTTGAATGCAATGAGTGGCTGAGTTTGTTAACTAAGCTTAATAAGTGGCAGGTGGTATTTTATATGTGAAAACGGAATTAAATCTGTAAAGTTCATCTCAGAAGATTTATTGGGAAGACAATACTTACATTTGAAGAGTTGGCTTGTGGAAATAGAGGCTATTCTAAGTTCTACTTTTCTAATTCCCATTATTTTAGATGTACTGAATTTTTCTCATCTCCTTGTAGGAGAAACTATAAGAATTCTATCCAAATATAGCTATACCGGTTCTCAAGACCATCTTTGCAGGTGGATACTACTGCAATTAACAAAGCAGGGATTTTGGAAGAGATAGCGTAGTGAACACCCACATACTTTGCACTCTAGATCAAAATGAACAAGGATTGGGGAAATCTGAAACTTGGCGACATCGTTCTGTTAAAAAGGTGACTCTTCTCTAGCTACATGGGCATCAGGAAGATTAGTGGGGATAAATCCAGAACAGAATGGATCTGTCCAAATAGCAAAATTTCAGACTTCTAAGGCATGTTACAGCACTCCATAAACAAGGGGAAAAAAAAAAAAAAAAAAAAAAAATCCTTTTGTCTAAGTGTCAAGAATTCAATTGTTGATGGTGGAGTGCCGCATGGAAGTTGCTCTTGATAATGGAGTGCCACTTGGGAGCAGTGCCTTTATTTCACTGTGCAGGTAATCTCAAGCTACAAAGCCAAAAGCTGCTTACTGGTATTACAAATAGCTTTGTTGCTATGTTTATATTACTACTATTCCATAAAAGCCCACTGTTGGCTTTCTTGTAGGTTGCATGGAGATACTGATGCAGCATTAGGAAATATTAACAAAGGAATTGAGAAGATGCATTATGAGAAACTGCATGTGCTCAGGATGGAACACATTTTTCATAATTTGCTTTTGAAAAAATAAATTTTACTGCCATATTGAGGACTGTATCAGCTATTAATCCTACTAAAATAAATAAAAGCAGTGTGAAGTTTGCTGGGTAGCACATGCTGAAAATATTGGAGTTGCCATATTCAGGATTCAGGAGTTGCCATACTGCTTCTTGGAATTGGTAGTTTTATATGAAATTTCATTGTCAGTGTATGAGCTAAATTGGGAACAGTTTCTGAGCAGAAGCTTTTAAGCACTCTTCTTCTAATACTGCCATTACCAAATTCTCTAACAAGAATTTTCTCAGTGGAGATTATTCAGCAGTGCTGTCAGAGAATTCAAAGAAGCATTGTGATAATTTATGATCTTGTGGAAATGAACTTTGAAAAGATTCTTTGAAGATGTCCCTTGTAAATGGTCTGTCCTTTCTAATAGTCTGCCTTTCTTGTTTTTAATGTCATCATTAGCTGATCTCCATAAGCAAACCTTTGCATGCACAAGTTATTGGTTGCAATGCTAACAGAAATGAACACTAGACATTATTAAATACAAAAATATAAATTATCTTTTTATAGAAATCTTTTTAAAGGAAACTGGACTGTGTGTTACACATGAGAGAAATTGACAAAAATCTAGTGTAGCTTAGCTTAACTATTGGAACTCATGGCAAACTGCATGTTCTGTAGAGATAGCCACTGACCTGACTTTGTTGTAAAAGTCTTACAGTGTTAATAGTCATCCTGGCAGAATGAAATATTTCCTCCGTGTAAAAATATAAATATTACATGGGCATACAAGGCCAGTGTATAAGCATAGATATGTTGATTACAAACATTGTCTTGTACAAGTTACATATGATAATTACATAAAATCATGACAGCTATGTGTACATTTAAACATTATCTAATTCATATTTACAATACTTTTACTGAGATAATCAAAGTAAACTTGTAATTATTTTACACATTGACTGGATTTCAATATATTAAACTGCTTTACAATATTATTGTATCAAGTACATAAAACTGGTAGTAATATGCTTACTTACAATAGTTTAGCTCTTACAGTCCTGTACTATTCTATGGGGTGAGCTATTTTTCAGTGTTGATTTCCAGTTGTTGTAGTATTTTGAATTGCTTAAAATATGCTGCGAGATACAATTCTCAAGGGAGGGGGAGATTTCTGTAGTACCTTGCTGAGCATGCCTGATTCCTCCCTATTTTAGTTTTCGTCTGCTTGTTGCCGCAGGTATTCTCCGCCATTGTGGCCAAATTCACGGCTTGCATTTTTAATGCAGTTTATTGGTTTATGGGCAGTTGAAGAGAAGTGAACTGATCACCTACCGCACCACATTCCACAAATCTGATGCTCGTATGCCGAATCTTCTTAAGATAATGTGGGAAGGGACCATGGACCATGTAGAATTGAGTTTGTGCTCCGCGTATTAACTGAGGCACGTGACTTCGAAAAAAACTTGTAGGTTCCTCCCTGTGCTTTCCTTTCCCATCTTTTCTACCATTTTTGTAAAGGCTATGGCGTGGTTTTTTTTTAAATAGGACTGCGGCACTACTGCGTCTTCCAATCTACTGGAGTCATTTGCACAGATTTGGCAAGGGGTCCGCCGCTTCGTTGCCAGTAATACCCACATGAGCTGGAACCCAGATCAGAATATGTCTGTCATCTGGTGGGATACTTAGAAGAATTTTCTGAATATCTTGTACCAAAGGACTCCTTGTCTTGTGCCCTCGGATGGACTCTAAACTTGAGGCAGAGTCGCTATATATGTTGACCTTTATTCCTTATTGATATTTTGCCAAAGTGATGGCTGCTTTTAATGCAAGAAGCTCTGAAAGACGGTATTTTTGTCTGCCAGTCGTCTTTCCCAAGTTTTAACTACTCCTTCTTGGAGTACACAGTAGGTGCAGCCTGTGCCTTTTACCGTCTTTGAGCCATCTGTATAAATAGCTAATGCCTTCTCATTTGGCGGGGTGTATTGTGTGCGATAAATCTGTATCTGCAGGGTGTCCAAGCATGATCGGCTTGCGCTTCTCATATTCTGTGTGGTAGAATGTCTTTTGCCACAGAGAGACGTTATTTTCCAGGCGCAATGTCCTTACTAATAGTGATTCTCTCTCCACTAGAAGGTGCAGTGGAGGGATACCCGCCAGCACTTGCAGTGCTGCAGTTGGGGATGTTCTATAACCTTTGCATATGATCAAAAGTTGCATTCTTTGTATGGTGAGAAGCTGCCTCCTCATATGGGCAGTAAACAACTCCCTACTAAAGCGATTTTTTTAGTATCTCGTTGAATGGAAATGAGGTAGAGAGAGAATGTTATGGAAGTTTCACTTCACTCAGCAGAAGAGCTTAGGAATCCTTAGTGATGCGTGTTTGCCATCAGGCTGCTTCGTTGTTAAGTCACTACGCTCAGCCTTATTGTTGATATACGCCGGTTAATTTAATTTAATCCGTTACCACTCAGTGATCTATTTATAGATCACCTACTTTTAGAGCGCATACTGAGAACAATATCTTTTAATCACTTCTTGTCATCGACTGTTTCCGTACACATATGGCCACACCTCCAAAGGGCGTTTAGAAACATTCTTTTGTAAATCAGTCCAAGTTAGCCAAGCGAGGCTTCACAGTAAGGCATTCATATTAACCGCTTGTCTGATTATCCCGAGTTATCTCGGGTTCGAATATATTGCAGTTAATTATTATCCCGAGAAAACTCGGGCGAAGCAAAATTTGTTAGTATGATTTCTTTTATCACGGTTTTACTCGGTCTGGAGGAAATGAAAAGAAATATTCAGCTTTGATTGGCAGTTTTCCAAATTTTGTTGGTTGCGCGGTTCTTTTGGAGGGACTGGTCGCGTGTTTCCCTATTGTATAGTATACGTTGGCTTGTGGATTAATAATGTGTAAAGAAGGATGCATGCGTTGGAAAAAAAATAAAATAATGGCGATGATGGACGATAGCGAAAGCGATGATTTTTCAGATAGTGATTATGAAGAGGTGGGGGGAAAAAAATCTAACGAGACTGTGCTCCCATGAGAGATTTCAGCGATAAGAAAAGAGACCAGATACCAGTGTAGAACGTCAGGTATCACTCTGTGTTGTCGCTTTTTTCAAAAACTATCATACAAAGATTAATATTTAACTTTTTTTCGTTTGCCCGAGATAACTCGGGATAGTAAGCTAATATTAAAAATAAATGCCTTTACACCTTCAAAAAATTAAAAATTCAGCTACATATTTTGATTTGTTTCGTTTTGTTGTATTTAATAATAAAATAAAAAAATGTGATGATTTTTTGCAATTTTTTTCAAAAAAATTTGTAAGGGAAGCGGTTAAAGCTTTGGATTTTGTATCCAATGGAGAAAAAAATTAAAAGTAAGTAACAATTTTCTTATGTGTTCTACATTTTCAATACCTCTTTAATTGTTCTGAGTTATTTAGATTAAAAAAATAACTGTTCGTATAATTAAATGTTTAGCTTAAACATGCTGATCTATAAACAGATTGCTGGGCGTTAGTGGTAACTGTTTTATGTTCAGGAGTAAAGTGTTTTACACTGCCAAAGAAGGATTAGAATATATGTTTTCTAAGGAGATTCAGATGTATTGCTTTACCGCCTGATGTGGATGAGTTAAGTGATGAAGAGTGTGTTGATGATCGTGAAATGATTACTCCATCGGTAAAAGATCTGTGTGTGGATAATAAGTGTGTAACAACAGCAACAAAATTTGATTACAAAGAGTCTCTAACCCAAATTTTAAGGCATAAGAAAGGTTTGAAAGAAAAATCCCAAATTTTGCAACCAAGTACTATAGCCCAATAAAACAAAAATATGGGTGGTGTCGACCAGCACGACTGGTTCTTAGAAAAACAAACAATTCAAATCCGTGGCAAAAAATGGTACTGGCCAATATTTACTAGAGTTGTCGACATGTTTGTCGTAAATAGGTATATTTTGTTCAATTTAACAAATTTTGAAAGAAAAGTGTAAAGGGCATCCGAAGATATATCGTGATTGCATACCTCAAATTGGGAACAAATTCTAAGAAAAGCATTGGAAGAACTTTATGTCATTGATATCGCTTTGTGTCATTGATACCAAAAGTGATAGACTCTGTACGTTTAGATAGAAAAGGCCATGTTATAGGCAAAAGACAAAACCAAAGACGATGCTAATTTCAAAAATCTAAGGGAAGACCTCTAATGTTTTGTACAAAATGCGATACAACATTGTGTGTGAAATGTCACATTGCAAATTTGCTGAATAAAAATGTAACTAAGGAAATCTAGATCAGTAAAATAAGGTTTTTTCTTTTAAATCTTATTTTAATAATTTTGAAAATTATTAAATTTGTTTGTTGTTTCTAATTTTGCAAAAATTTCATATTTTTTTAACTAAATTCGTAATTTTTTAAACATAAGATCAGAGGGCAGTTTCTTGTTCTTTTATTGCCAGAAGCGTCGGACGATCTATTTATAGATCACCTATTATCTGAGCTGCTAATTATGGTAAGTGAATAAAACCTCATAATTACGTTATTTATGATATATGAAAAGTAATTTTAAAATATTTTTCAAAAATTCTCTTTTAAAAATAATTTGGGCGTTAACGGATTAAGGGGCAACTACGTTAGGTAATTGTGTTTTACTGTGGCTAAGTCAGTTTAGTTTAGCATTAAGTTAGCTTCTTATTTTTCTTATATTGAGTTTAAATCCCAAGTGGAGGCTTTTCTGTAAGCCCGAGAAGGGGCAGACTGTTATTTGTTCTTTGAGTGAATAAAAGGGTATTTTAATCCTTATCTGGATTTTGTCGTTTTCATACTTGAACTCAGCGATAAGTCACTACACAGTTCAATACAAATCCATTACGTTCAGGATAACCAAAGTAGTTGGGAATATTACAAACAAACAAATGTTCTGAATGGAAGAAGGTATTTTGAAAAGAAACATGGAAACAAAGTTAATGAAATTCAGTTTTTAATACTATGTATGTTGTGTCATTATTACTTGATCGACCAGACTTCATATTTTTATTCATTTAGTTTTTAATTCTATATAATCAGGTATATTAATTGCAAATTTTTGTTGCTTAATCAACAGAAAAAAAAGTATGCTGTATGTATCATTTCTAAAGAAGAAGATAAGGTAAGAACTTAGTGCATTAAAAAGGATTTACGAATAAATGTACCGATATATTTCAAAAAAAAATATTATTTTTATATATATATATATATATATTATATTATATTATTTTTATATATATATTATATTTCAAAAAAAATAATGTATACAATTATTATTTTATTTGTATGATGTACTTCTGTGGCAGGAAAAAATGGCTTGGATTTTGAAGGGCTGATTAAATGTTTTTGGAATGGATATGTGAAAAACAGCAATCTGAAAAATTTCAAAAACTGGTAGTTCTTTAGTTCATGGAAGTTTTCGATATCTGTGGAAAAAATTTCGTTTCCAAAATATGTTACTGTGAAATACAACCCTTTTCATAATGTAATGATTAGAACTCTAAAAGTTTTTAAAGGATAGAGTCAAAATTGTTATATATGCAAGCAGTTATTTTTGTGCCTAAATTATATGCATTGTATCATCACCGAAATTTCGGGATCGCCTAGATGAGATAGGCTGTCTTTCCAGATTTTTCAATAAAACTTAATAATTAAATTTTATGTTGAAACAAGGTTAGAATTGAAGTTTAAAGGATCAATGTCATAGGGAAAACATCTTCCCAGATGCATGAGTGCATTGTACCGTCTTTAGCATCTCAAAACAATTTATCTTAGCTTTCATCTGCTTTTTTATGAGTAATAGAAACGCAGTAGGGAAGAAGTCCAAAACTTCCCATCCGAGTACTTTCAGTTGTGACAAAAAGGACTGCCCACCGTCTAGAAAACAGACGGGGGTTTTTCTCATGAGGGAGGAAAAACCATTAATTGCATACACATTTTGTAATGTCTCAGCATGTTTTCTTAATAATTGATTAAAATATTTATTTAAACAATAAAATTTTATATTTTAAGAAGTACCTTTTTCCCTGGTGCTAGCTCTAACATCAAGTTCCTTATGTATGTTTCGTAATCTGGATGTTCCCATAACAAAGAGCTTCTCACGGCTATCATGAATTCTTCATTTTGAAATCTAGACAATACTGAAGCCAGGCCTATATTGAATAAAGAAAAAACAGTGACAGTTATTTTTAATCTATACCCCCTCTTATTTTTAATTTTTATCACCCAAATCGATACGAAACTGAGTTATATGCATAGTGGACTGAACCTTTTCTTAAGATGACCACTCACAGTTTCATATGATTTTAGTTTTAAATAATGTTCTTAAAAATACTAGTTATTTTCAGAGGTGGCCATAATGAGAGGGTTTGCAGAATTCAAATTAGTAAAATCTAAGTTATTTTGCTCAATTGTCTTAATGATTTTATGTGTTAAATGTGATTGTTTTGTATGTTTGGAAATTCAGTTGGAGCATATTATGCTTAGGAATCCACATTAATTATTTGAAATGAAAATATTCGTATTTTAAATTGGTTATTTTATACAATCATTAGTATCCTATTCATAAAAATAACTGAAGAATTTCTCCAATCGCATGAATTCCTGCTAATGCTTCTAAAGTTCCTGTTCATAGGACTAACTAAATGATTTTTTATTCAAAATACACGGCGAGCGAAAGGCTCTCTAGAGAGGTTTGTTCTAGGGAAAGAGGCAGGGGAGACCCTCGGATCGCCCATTGCGATATTCTCCCTCAAAACTGGGGTAGAAGCTTAACAGTTAGCAACGCCCAGGAATAACTGATATATACCTATGGGAATGAACAGGTGCCGGCCTTGCTTCTACCTATCCTGCTCTGTTGCACCATCCAGCTCTGACCCTGGCACTATCTCCATTATCATGGCGTACATTGTAGGTCAGTGATTTTTCTTGTAGTCATTGTAAATATATAAGTCTTAGCAATGGACTCAACTATGGCTAGTTCCAATCTCAGTAGGCTATTTGGATTGCCTGTAGCCACAAGTACAAAATCTATGAACTGTATGAATTTCTGCTTGATAACGGCATTTATGTTTATTTAGTCAAGGATACTTCTGTCAAATCGAGTGATAATCTTATGATCATAAATTTTAGATTATATCCCTGTGACTGCCGTAGACTTAGTAACGATGGAGTCGCATTCTAACAAATAAGGCAGAAAGGGAAATTACATTATATCGCAAAGTAATTTCTCTTTCTGCCTTATTTGTTAGAATAACAGTATTAAGTGTTGTGGAGCTGTGATCATTTCATTCAGCGTACCAAGATTCTTGACAACTCCATGGCAGCAGTTTATAATTGCCCAGATAGCAAGTTAACCGAAACCATTATTGCTTCACTCCTTTCTTAATGACTATTCTGTCGGCGATTAGGGGCCCACCAGCGGCTAAGTGGTAAAGTCGCTGCTGAGGCTCGAATCTCGCAAATGGGCTAGCCACATGTGTAACGCATATACGAGACAGTTTCTATCAGAAAGTCCTCCACACAAAAGCATCCCTTACACAGATAGCCTGAGTGCTTTGCCATAATCAAATAAACCAAACCAAGCCAATCCTGTTGACGATTTGTCGATAATTTAGTCGGAGGTGATCTAAATTATAAGCATTATGGTTGGGGATGCTGAACTACAAACCGAAAAAAAAAAAAAAAAAAAAGTGCTAGACTAGTATATCGTCGACAATTAAGTCTATCTGGCTTCAGGTGAGTCTACCTAAACACATTCAGCCTGATATAAAGACTGGATGTTCTTATTATCATACTCATTAATATGAGTATTTCTACGGTTTTTCATGCACCGAAAGTTCTCTCACCTGTAATCAAATGACCTGTGTCATATTAAGTGTTGCCTTGGATAATAGCCCCAAAATCAAGTTCATCACGGATGATCGCAAATAATTTTGTCAAGCACTGATTGGCAAAATCATCCGTGTATGCCTCCCTGGAACTATCAAATCACAATGAGATAGATACTGTGATTGATGACACTATTACAAAATTAAATGACATTTATCATGAAGCTATTAGAAAGACTGTGAGTCCCAAGCTATAACCAAACTTCCCAGGGAGATTAAGGACTAAATTACGCTTCGAAAATAGCCTGAACGCAAGTTCTAAGTATCCTGGATCCATGTAAATCTAATTATATCAGTAAATACATCAAATGACGAACGAATTAAACAGCATCTTATTGATCTTTTGGACAAAGAAATAGCTGATATTGAAATAAATAACGGTGTAGCTCTCTGTGAATGTTCGGCAAACTATTCAAGAGCAAATTCCTTTGTAATCGCCCGTTTATCACCGATACAAAGCTGATGATATTATTTCAACAGGAAGAAACCATAAGTTTCTCTGAAACACAGTTTACTGCACATGTAATACTAGCAAATCTCAAACTTTATTGAAGAAGTTAAGTAGGATATCTGCTAATGGCTGAATGCTCGTACACTTAATCATATAACTAACTTCACTTTCCCAGAATAAGTCGCTTCCATCATCCATACGAGTAAAATCAACCGGACGAAAGCCTCTGAAATTGACGGAATTATCAATAATATGTTTCGCAATCTCCCATGTAATGCAGTCCACCTGCATATTAAATGCTTGCCTTGCCTCGAACTAATTTTCTATGGCATGGAAGTGTGTGAAAATCTTCCTTCTGTCAAAATCCAAAAAGAACTATAATTAGCTTGATAGCTATATGCTTATCAGCTTGTTATTCAATTTAAGCAAGGTTTTTATAATGTATTTTCTCCCTTTCTGCATGCCTTCGAGGTGTAACATTAACACACTCAGCGCATATTCGAGAGGTCCAGGGTTCGAGTCCCGACGAGGGCATTGCTCATTTCTTACATTTTCTGCTTACAAAAAAACCTAATGACTCTACAGTCAGAACTGTTTTATCATGGCAAAGTGTATACAGAAGTTTTAGTGAGAAGGAAAAAAAAAAAAAAAAAAAAAAAAACAGAAAGCTAGAAGCACGTGTTTCACTGTCATCACAACAAAAGGGTGCAAAAAACATCAGAACAGGAATAAACAGAAATGGTCCCATGTTCCTTTTACTGATGAGTTGAGGTTCAGTTTAATAACTGATTCTAAACTTGTATGCATCTGGAGGGAATCAGGAATGCAAAATCTTCCTTCAAACATTGAGACGTGACAATTTTGGTAATGGAATGGGGAGCAATAATGATCGACAGGCATATGCCCCTACGCATTTTAGCAGCGGATTTTAGCAGCGTGTGACCAGCCAGAGATATCGGGATGAGGTCTTAGAAATTTATGTAATATTTATCAGATGTACATGTGGATCTGTCTTTTTATTTATAAACAATAAAGCTCGTTCATATCGAGAAAAACCTTGTCAATTCCTTGAAAGTGAAGGATACCATGCCCGGCAAATTCTCCTAATCGTAACCTTACAGACTACCTCGGAAAAAGCACCTGCATGCCAACATTCTCCTTCTAGAGATATAAATGTTCTGAAGACTTCATTGCTGGAGGAATGGAACTTAATTCTCCAAACTGTAGTTGACAACATTACCTTAATTTTTTGAGTTATTCTTTTTCTGATCTCCTAACATGGTATTACCATTTTTATAATCTTATGCATAGTTTAATATCATATGCAGTGCTCTAAAGTTTTTTTCCTTTGCTTTTATGTGTTATGATGTTATATATCATTCCACACAAATTTGTAAAATTGTAGTTGTCGGTTTTTGGAAAATCTTTGATTTCATGTGTGGAAAGATAATTTTGGACATCAGTGTACATTAAAAAACTTTTTATGAACAAGAGTTTATTTAAATGCGTTAAAGAGCAATATATATACTCTTACTCATATGTGGCAAAAATATTTCTTTTAAAACAAAGTTTTACTCACATATTTTATTATTGGTAATGAGTTATGAATTATTATTGGTTATGATGAATATTAATAACAATATTTTAAATGATATTATGTAATGATAAGGGTGTGAAAATTAAGAAGGGAATAAAAGGAAAATTTTTCATTGCAATTTATTTCACAACTTTCCTTATGATTTCATTATTCCATAAACCAAGAATGTCATCTGCAAAAAGTGTGTAAATTTTTTCATCTGATTATACTTAAAGCGAAACATCAGCGAAAATAAATCAAATGAAAACATGATGAGCAAATTTCATTCGTGCTACTTGACACACAGACATTTTTTACATTTTGACCAATTACGAGTACGGACTTTTCTCAAGTCCGTTGCATACTGGAGTTTGCTTAAATGCCCAGAACCTACCATTGATGAGAAAGATTACGTTAGTGTAAGGAACATATTTATTGGGGCCAGCAACAGTTGTCCAAAGTCTTGTTCTTTGTTGAATCCTAGTTCATCATCAACAAAGATTCCGGACATTAGCTAGTGTGAAGAAAATGGGGTACTCGTTACCATCATCAGAACATTCAGGAAGTGGATAGCAATGTCAAGGAATAATTGTGTGGGGGTAGGTAGTATGCACAGTGACTAAACTCTAAGTCTTTGATGGATGTGCAGTGGCATCTCAGCAACACTGTACCAAAATCCTCTTGGGATCTGTCTTTTCCATGGTACAGTTTGTCAAAAGTCTCGACAATGCCCACCAGCATACGGCAACTGAAGTATCCAACATATCAGCAGGAGGAGGTATACAGCCGATGATATGATCTGCATCATCCCAAGACCAAAATCTCATAGAGCACTCCTCGGATATGTTGGGCGGACGTATTACTGAAAGAATGGGCCTTCTTACCATAGAGGATCTCAAAATCCTCTTGAAACGTGAATGGGACAAAATCATCAAGCTGTTCTCAAACGTGTAGTGGGTACTTACATACCAACCAAACACTAGATATTCACCATAATTCGAGGAGTTTACACTCCATAATGGTGACCTTATATTTGTCCTTATTTTGAGCAGAACGAGCATTTTTCACAACTATTAAAAATAAATGTAAGGAGCATCTTTTTCTTTTGCTTATCTTGTTTTCCCATGTGGTGATTATTTGTACTATTTTGCATGGTAACAATACTTTAGGACATTTATTAAAGGTGTACTAAATGTTACTTCGTTAAAGACTGTCTGTTATTAGTTACAAAAAAAAAAAAAAATATTACTCTGTCCCTTAGCATCTGTCAAGCACTGTAAATAACCATTTAGAGTTTCTTAAAAAATACGTACTATAGTTGCATTACTTTATATCTCACTTAAAAACATGTAAATAAATGAATAAGTTAAATTTTACTTAGAACAGAAAATGTTTAGTTAGTTAATTATTTATGCTTGTAAAATTAATATTCATTTCTACTTTTGAATATTTGCTTTTTTTCCCCTCCACTTTTATATAAGAATTTTTTTTATCTGATGATTTAGATTTTTTTGTAATCTGAAACATCTATGAAAGTCTTTTTCGTTTAGGTAATGATTCAAATTTCAAACTTCACTATCAGACTCCACTCCATAACATCACTCCTTCCCCTTTTTGAAGGACATAAAGTAGTCATTACACAGAATTCGGTAATTGGCTAATAATGAAGAAATTCATAACAACCCTTGGAACCCTTGGAACCCTTGGAATGCATTAAACCTCTTTTTGCTGAATTTGTGAAGTTTTATTTATGTTTATTTAAGCAATGAAGAATATATGTTATTTTATTTTCTGAATTCCTCTTTCTTTGAATCATACCACTCACCCTAGATACATACAAATTAAATGATCACAGATGTCGTTTGATTTTAAGATGAAGCAGGGAATTAATACCTTGTTAATATGTCCTATGGTGTTCTTTTGCGCATCTAATCAGTGCTTAGTAACCAACTAGCCTTTGCGGTCTTCTGCACAACAAGCTTATTGAATCTTGAGTCACTATATAAATTTAAATCTGCTTTTGTAAAGGAAATTTTGGTGAGAGTTAATTAAGTTTGAAATTTTATCCTTTGAAAAGCAGTGAATAGGTCAGTATATTGGAGATTTACGGAATTGTTCTTTAGTGGCTTGTGGTTGCCAATTAACAGTAAGAAGCTAACTAAAATTTAGTTTTCAAGTTCTTTTAAGTACAAGCAATATACAATGAACTCTCTCTAAGATGCCCACTTATTGTTCACTATGATTTTGTTCTTCTGTGAAGGTGGTTATGTTAGAGAAGGAATGTTCAGTACCAATATCCGTTTGTGTTCCCAGAAATGCCGGTTGCCACGGAAAATTTCACTACATTTTACATCGAACGTTTAAATTTATTCAGACTGTCATAATAAAAGGATGTCTCAAATCTAATACTGAGCAACTCAGCTTTGAAAGTTTTATGAGAAAAACAAGACAATTTTAGTTTTATTTGTCACTTACTAATGTATTGAATTTGATTAGATGAGGAATAGTCTTACATATAGATGTGAGTACGGCAGCCCGAATCAATACTATCTTGCACACATAGTGTGCTATTTTTGCATCCTCTTCAGATCCTCCGATAGAGCCTCCTGGGAGCAAGAGTGAAGCTTGATCTAGATTTTTTAAACTTCTGGAAAAATAAAAGTCAGAATAGGGTCACTTACATGCATAGCAACTGTAATGTTAAATTAAACATGTATAATGATTATAGAATTATTCAATGTACTCAAAAATTAAATTGACTAAAATGATGAATAGTACTGTATTTCACACCGGTGAACTACGGCACCTACGACATACTTTTCAAAATTGTAGATATCCGATAACGAAATTCCTTCTGTTTTATATAATAATCCAACATCAGCATTCCTACAATAAATTAGATTATGATGTAGATCAGCAAGGATATATCTTATTAATTCCAATAGGTACTTTTCCGATAAAAACTTCTCAATCCTGGAAAGAAAAATATTTTAGTTATTTGGTTTTTTTTAACATTTAAATTCATATTTACGTTTGGGCATTATTTCCTGATATGCATACAAACAAAAATTATGCTTTCAATGTTAATATTACCTAAATACTTCCTCTACAAAAAATAATTTATATGAAATTTGTAAAAATAAATTTATGTGTACTGAATACTGTACAGGGCTAAGTTTATTTGCATATTGCTTCTGCTACTTTTTTTCAGTATATATATGAATTTTTTTAATCTGCTAAGTTTTTAAGGTATTTTCTCTATCCTTCCAGTATGCCTTCGTGGTGTAACGGTAGCACACTCGGCGCATATTGCAGAGGTCCAGGTTAAAGTCCCAGTTCGATGTATGTTATGGTATGAAAGTATAGTAGTCGCGATTTAGTGTGATCATGGATAAGAGATCGCTAATTAATGATTATTGGGCAAAAGAAATATAATAATCTCTAGGTATGAATTTAACAAATATTCTCTATTCATATAAAGCTAATATTAAATTAAACTTTAATTAAGAAATTTTAATTGCAAAAAAATAAAAATCATTATTATTGCTGTGAACTAATTTACAATATCATTTAAGTTCAAAGAGCATATGTAAATTTAAATGCACGTATCTAAAACCAATAAAAAACATATTATTCCAAAAAATAATTACATAAGTGAATAATTATTGAGCAGGTAGGAGACAGACTTATCAAGTGGAAGTTGCCTCCAAATCTAACTCTTCAATTATTCAATTCGTGTTTCGTCATCCATATAGGCAAGAGTAAAAGTAAAATTCAAAACCAACAGTAAAAGCACATGTTGTGAATAACTGAAAAAGAATTTTAAACAGTGGAATTTTGAGGGGAAAAAAAGTGAGTAAAAGACTAGAGTTAAAATTATTTAAATGTCAATTAAGTGTAGAAAACCAAATGTTTTAGAAAACCAAAGTAATTGAGAAACTCTTGCCTACTGGAAACTTCTCCAAAAGTAATTGAAGAGTTAGATTTGGAGGCAACCTTGATAAATCTTGATTCTCCTTAATAAGTCTGTATCCTGCCTGCTCAATAATTATTCACTTATTCACTCTGCGCATGCGTCGCATTGACGCATGCGCGTAAGACCTTTACGGTTGCGAATGTGCGTGTGCGCATGTGCATAATACGTTTACGCATGCGCGTTTAATGTATAACGGACGGTATAAGCTAAGCTAAAATTATCTAATTCAGTTAATGTTGCAGATTGCTTTGTTTCTTAATCTTCGAATTGGATCCGGCTTATTATTTTTTGCAGACTGTTAGAGCAATTTTATAAAAGTAAGCTTGAACTTTCGATTATGTCAAATAGAATTTCCGATATATATTTACTAATATGTAAAGAATCTACAAAGCGAAAGTATGTTTCTGAGTCCATTAAACAAAAAGTGGAATTGCTGCAAAAAATGGATAAAGGCATATCCTTCGTTTCTGTAACCATTCCGAAATCTGTTTATAAATTTCACGCTGCTCTGCGGCGACGGGGGGGAGGGGGAACGCCGCGGCGCGCAATGAATTGGAAGTTGAGCTGTCAGCACTATCCTTATCTTCAGGGCAGATGTTTTTATTTTATTTGGTTTATAATTCCTTACTAAATGTAGTATTTCATCTCGATGTACTCCGTCTTTGATATGATTTAAATCAAATTCCTCGTCATTATAATTCGCTTCCGATAGTGAAGAAAGTGACGCAGAGGTTATTGAAAACGAAAAAATTTCGATTGACAAATTAGTCGTATTCTCGACACAGCAATTATAGAACTTGAACAGCGGAGCTTTGTAACTGAAGAAGAAATTATGCCTGTTTATAGAATTAAAGAGAAAGTATTATCACATAAAACGAAGCAACTTAAACAACTTACATTGAAAGAAATGTTTAATAAAGTAAACAAATAAATATTAAGCTTTTTTTTTTGTAAATTTTGATACCCTTTAAATAATAATTGTTCTTTATTTCATAAATTACGGTTTCATATTTTTTATTTTATAATTTCTGCATGCCATCTTACCAGATTGAAACTGATGATCTATAATCCGGAAAAATCGATAATCCGGAATTGCCGAAGTCCCCACGAGTCCGTATTGACGACTTTTGACTGTAATATGTTTTTTTCTTGGTTTTAGATACGTGCACTTTAATTTACATATCTTTGAATTTAAATGGTATTGTAAATTAGTTCGCAACAATAATAATAATTTTTATTTTTTTGCAATTAAAATTTCTTAATTAAAATTTAATTTAATATTAGCTTTATACGAATAGAGAATATTTGTTAATTTCAAATTTCATTCCTTGCAGCTATGGCGCAAGAGAATTATTTAAATTTAATTTTAATATTTTCTTGTGAAATAATCTCTAGGGTTTAGAAATCTGCATCGTTAAATGAAAAAATAATAAAAATACCAGAGAAGACGAAGAAATCGTATCAATTTTGCAACTAAGTGGTATAAGCAAATACAGAGAATAAAAAGGCAAGCATGTATAGAAATTTTAGAAGCTAATCATATTTATCAAAATAGAAAAGTACTTTTTGCTGCATACACTGGCGAAAAAACAAAGGAACATTTATAAAATCTCATGTAACCTGAAAGTAAGTAAGAACATGAAACTTAGACAAGATCTTTATTTTATCATGCTTAACATATCTTTTGTATGTAGGACTGTGTATTTCTCAAAAAATATTTATATAAGAACATACAAAATGTGATATTAACGACATTTATCAACTGTTGAAAATTAATTGCGCTGCCAAAGAATCTCGATATCAAGACTGCTTTAAAACGAGATATATAATTAATAAATTTTAATTTTAAATTATTAAGTGACCCAATCATGTACAAAAAAATTCATCACTATAGATTCAGAAATTTTTTAATTTTAAAAAATTTTTATTATGAAATTTTTTTAAATATACAAAGAGAATTCTCTTTCTCTTCCCTTTTTATTTGTTTACCTGCAGCGTTTATCTACTCTTATGAAACTTAAAGGTGTGCTAATGATAGCCCAGTCCAAATCTGTTGCAATAAAATTCAGTGATCCGTTTCCTCCAAAGTTTCTGAGTTCTGTATCAATTAATACCTACAAGAAAAATTAAAAAAAAAAAAAAAAAAAATTGCTTATCAGTTTTCGATATCAATAAATATTTTATATAATACCGACCTTACTTTTCTAATTAGATGAAAACTATTTCTATTCATAAATTTAGAAAGGAATTTTTTAATCTTATATTAGAAAAAATAATAAGTAAAAAAATATGATAGTGGCATGAAATTGTGAGGTTTTGATGAAGAGATAGATATATCTGTTTGAAGTAATAATGAAAGTTCATAAATGTTTTTCTTTGCACTTAGTAATACTTTCAGTTTTTACTTTCAGCCTCAGAAATGTTAAATGAAAACATTAGTAGCAGTTCGAAAAAAAATTATTTCTCTGATCTCATAAAGGTGAAAAATATCAAGAAAAGGGCACAGTATAAAACAACTGAATTTTGCTGCATTCTCGAATAATATTACTGATTGAGTTCCTAAAATAAAATGTACATTTTAAAAGGTTTTTAATTACTGACACAATATCAAGTGTTTGTTTACTTATGTTTATTTGTAAGGGACCCAACATACCAGTTTTCAAAAGTAAGTTTGTAAGGATCTTAAGTTTTACTAACGTTTATTTTATTTTAAATCTTTACTATCACTTCTTATTTTCTACTTCCGGCCAGAATTATAAGCGTGAAGGAGTTTATGCAAAGTTGTCTGGCGAACGCCAAGTATTTAAGTGTGGCCTTTTTGCCAAGCAGAAGAGAGGAAGCCGTGAGTTCGAAGCAGGCCGCTTACCTTAGAAGTTACGCAGTTGCTACTTTGCCTTCCAGGCCAGAGGTTTTAATCCTCTTGATAAATTAAACGTATTGTAGTGTTCACAGTCTCTGTGCTACATACGCTTTCTGTTATTATAAGGCCAATCTTATTCTAAAGTTAAATTAGAGTTTAGTTTTATTTTGATATCTTTTAAGTTAGACCCCGAGTGGAGGGTCATTGTATTCCGAAGTACGGAAGTCATTGTATATAAAGAAAAAAAATAAAGGGTTTTGTATACCCTTCGTCTGTATCCTGTCTACTTACTACAATTAGTGAACATAGCTTTAGTAAGCTCTCTGTTCTAGTCAGGTCATTGTATGTTTCCGAAGAAGGTTAGAAGAAACATTGAACCTGATAGTGGCGCCCGACGAAGAATAACCATGGCCGAGTTTCAAGAAGAACCTGTGCTGCCTGCAGAAACAGCTCAGAATCCAGAAATGCCAGCTGCCGCCCTGGAAGGATTTGGGTACATTGTCCAGACCATGCGCGCTTCGATGAAACCAGAAGCAACGTTTAATGGAAACTCACACCGGTAACCAGTTTTTTTTGGAAAAATTGGATGACCACTTCATGCTCTACCCCGTGCACGAGTTTCAAAAAGTTACCTTAGCTACCAGCGCTTTGAGGGGCCAAGCGCTTAACTGGTTCAAATGTATAGGCAGAAAGTCTCTTGGGTCAAGCAGGAAGTCCCACCTATACTTACGAAAATTTCAAGACTGCCCTACTAAAAGCCTTCCCTGTTGTAAGGGATCGTGCGAAATTAGAAACAGAACTTTTCAGTATATATCAACAAAGAATGGAAAACCATCTCGAGCTTTATTTTAAGAAAAAATTCACGTTTTCAAGCTCTTGTATGGAAACCGTCCGGATCCTGAAATAATTCAAGTGATTTTGCCGAGGTTACTACCCCAAGTGCAAGACTTTATTGAATTACGAAATCCGACTACACTGGAAAAGTTATTTGAGCTAGCAATCCAGTTTGAAAGTAGAAGAACGGCGGACGTCGAAAGAAGACGCCAATATCAACAGCGAAACCAATTTGGTACGCCAAGACTACAGCAAACTCAAGCACATGGCTACGGAGAAAAAGCGAATCAGTGGGCAAGGAAACCCGAGCATTCAAAAACAGCCGGCGAACGTCGACAGTTCAATAGCAACCCAGGAAAAAAGTCTCAAGGCCAGTGGAGAAAGAAGGAAAGCACCGAAAGAAAAAATAATTTAAACTAAAACGGATTTCTGCTGACGAGAGGGTGCGGAAATCCGAAGGCCACGAAAACCCCTCTTCCTACAAGTTAAATACAGTAATGGTGAAAAATTTAACTCTTCCGAAGATTGAAGTCTTGGTAAATAATATCCCGGCCACCGCACTCCTGGATACCGGCGCGCAGTGTTCCTGTGTGGCAGAAGTCTTTTTTAGAAAGTATTTTCGCAAATACCGCATATATAATGCGGATAATACAACAGTATTAGCGGCGCAAGGAGAACAATGTAAGTGCGTAGGTAAAGTACCTTTGTACATCCGTATCAAGGACGAACAAGTAAAGGTGATGTTTTTTATAGTAAAGAATTTGCAAGCACACTTAATACTAGGAATAGACTTTCTTTCAGACGCACAAGCTACACTGGATTTTAATGAAGCGTCTCTTAAGCTGACGATGAAACCAGTGCGTGTAGAAAAGGTTGAACCGCCAAGGTTAAATCTCGACCACCTGCCTAATGACGAGCAAGATAGAATCCGACAAGTGGTAAGTGAATTTGCTTCCTTATTTAGTGATATTCCAGGATTTACCCAGGTTACTAACCATAGTATTGACACCGGAGATGCATTGCCGGTTCGTCAAAAACCATACCGGTATGATAAGAATAAGGAAAAAAAATTATAGAATGGCATATTACCGATATGCTACGTAAAAAGATCGTAACGCCTATCTCAAGTAGTTATGCTAGTCCGGTGGTTTTATGTAAGAAAAATAATGATTATCCTTTGGAGCATCCAAAAAGGTGGAGATTCGCTATTGATTACCGTAAATTAAATTCCATAACGAAATATCCGGTATATCCGTTACCGATTATAGAAGAAATTTTAAGGAACATAAAATCAACCAAATTTATGACAACTTTAGACTTAACGAATGGTTATTTTCAAATAGGGATCAGGCCTGAGGACGTGCCTAAGACTGCTTTTATAACCAAGTCTGGCACTTATGCATTTTTGCGAATGCCGTTTGGCCTTTCAGGCGCCCCAGCAACATTTCAGCGATGCATGGACATTGTGTTAAGACCTGTTCTCGGAAAGTCCACATTTATCTATTTAGACGATATCATTATTACTAGTGATAATCTAGACCAACATGTACAGGATTTAAGACAGGTGTTTTCTTTATTAAATGAGGCCGGTCTAAAAGTTAATGTCGAAAAATGCAAATTTGCAGCCCCTGAATTAAAATATTTAGGTTACAAAATATCGCAAAAAGGGATCGAGACAGATGAATCAAAAATAATCGCTGTACAAAAGTATCCGACTCCAAACACGGCAAAGAAGCTCTCTTCTTTTCTAGGACTTTGTTCATATTATAGGTCCTTTATAAAAGATTTTGCGGCTATCGCTGAGCCATTGTTAAAATTAAAAAGGAAAAAGGCAAGATTCTCGTGGACGGCCGAAGCCAATAGTGCTTTCGAAAAATTAAAACAAGCATTAACGCAAGCCCCTGTGTTGAAATTTCCTGAAAAGGATGAAAATTTAGAAATTTCAGCGGATGCTTCGGATTATGCGGTAGGAGCGGTACTTTCGCAAAATCAGCAGCCAGTAGCATTTTTTAGCCGAACTTTAAATCAAACACAAAGAAACTATTCCGCGACCGAGAGAGAGGCACTTGCAGTTCTGTTAGCAGTGCAAAAGTTCCGAGTCTATTTTGGAAAGGCGCCGATAACAGTATATTCTGATCATGCGGCGGTAACTAGATTGTACTCTGGAAAAAATTTATCCCCAAGGTTAATAAGATGGGCACTCAAGCTGCAAGAATATAATCTGGTAATCAAGCATACCCCCGGAAAGGAAAATATCGTAGCAGATGCCCTGTCACGAATTAAATTAGACGAACAGGGTAATACCGTAAAAGTTGCAATGCTGACAGCGTGTACAATAAATTCCCGAGAAACTGTAATAACCGAACTGGGTAAGGATCCTGAGTTTGGAAGTATTTATGAGTATTTGAAGGATCCTGAAAATTTTAGCCACCAAGATATTGTGGCGATAAGAAATAGGGCGGCCCATTACGAACTAATAGATGGTCTATTATTTTATACAAAAAACTACGAATTCCAACAACGAATTTCGACCTGTTATCCCAGCTAGTCTTAGATTAAATATCCTGCAAGAGCTCCATGACAGCCCTTTAGCTTCTCATGCTGGTATTCGAAAAACTACTCAACGCGTACGCGAGGCAGTCTACTTTCCTGAACTGCAAAAGTTAACAAGGGCGTATGTCCAGTCCTGCCCAACATGTCAAGCCCCAAATTATATTAATTTCCGCCCGGCCGGGTTTCTAAATAGTATTAAATCCGAATTTCCAAATGAAATAATCGGCATCGATTTATTGGGCCCTTTCCCAAAAAGTCAGTTAAACAAAAGTCGCTATCTCCTTGTTATAGTTGATCATTTTAGTAAATGGACCGAAATTGTTCCCTTAAAACGAAAACGAGCCTCCGCGAAATTAGTTACCGATTCTATTTTAAATAAATATATTTTAAAATACGGGGCGCCCCTAAAAGTTATATCGGATAATGGTCCTCAATTTGTAAGTAATATATTTGAAGACATGTGCCAAAAACTGGGCATACGTCATTTAAAAATGGTCCCGTATCGGCCGCAATCAAATATAGCGGAACGGGTCAACAGAAATATAGTGAAAATTATCCGTAGTTATGTTAAAAATTTTCATAAAAGCTGGGATAACTATGTCAATGAATTTGCTTTCGCCCTTAGGACCGCAAAACATGATACAACGGGCAAAACTCCTGCTGAGTTATTTCTAGGCAGAAAGGTTATAACACCGTTAGATAAACTATTTTATGTGCAACAAAGAGCCCCAGAATTTAAAATGGGTGATATAGAAAAACTAATAAAGAAGCAAAAAAGAATACGGAAGTAGCACAAAGAAAACAAAATTGTATTATGACTTGAAACGACGGGGAGTAACTTATAAAGTAGGGGATGAAGTACTAAAAATTAAGCATTCACTTTCTTCAGCACCAGAAGATAAAACTGCCAAATTTTTTCCACGCTTTGAAGGACCATATGTTATAGAAAAAATAACTCACGCTGTTGTAGTGTGTTAAAGGCAAGAAATGGTGAAACCTGTTCCGCAAACATTGACCAATTAAAACCATTCTATGACCGTAATAAAATGCAAATCTTTTCAGATCTTTTGCAGGATCCGGTACGGCAGACACCGCAGGTACAAGTTCCAGAGGTGGGAAAACGACAAGTACAAGGGCAAGCCAATGAGAGACAGAAGCAAGTGAAAAGAAAATTGCCCCGCGGAAAAATTGAAGGTACAAAGAAAAAGAAGCCGTTCCACCGTCCAAAAAACAGAGTTCACGAACACCCCCAGAATGAAGAAGGGAGAAGGACGACGTATGTGGAAAAGACCGGGAGAAAGGACGGCAACTATAACCCGGCTGTGAAACGGAAGATTGACTCATCCGACAGAACTCTCCGCAGCAAAAGTCGCCGAACTGCGGAAGGGCCATCAGCGGCGGAGGAAAAAGTACAAGAAAAATTTGAACGGCCAACAACGAGGTCCAAGCAGGATCACGACAGAAGTTTCCCGGTTCCACCAAGACCAGCTGCCTTCAAACGGCCAAGACCACAAGCAGAGGACAGAAGGAAGATGTTCAAGGGTGGCCGTAGTGGTGAAAAACGGAAGCTTCCAGAGGAAAGCACTGAAGGGCGAGCCCGTACAAGAAGGAGGATCAACCAAGCTACGGTCTGCAGCACCTTTAAAGACTGGGCCCAGAAAAGGATGTCTGAATATTACAAAGATAAGTAAAATTTTATGTTACTTTACAAACTTAAGTTAATCTTTCATTCTTACTGCAAGTGGCAGATTTCAAGAAGTTTTACCTCATGCGAGGTCTACCTTTATCGCCAAAAGGGCGAGAAATGAGTTGTGACCGATTTTCTTATTATGTTTTTCAATTACTCGCGCGTAAAACTAAAGTTGATGTATAATAGCGTTGTATAAAGACTTAAATATTGTAAAAAGTTATTGTATAAATTTTATTTAAAACATTCTAACAAGAAAGAAGTTTTAGTCTGAAAGACTTTTTGAAATGTAGTATTATTTCAATGTAGAAAGAATTGGCACTTGCTTTGAAAAGAATAGAAGTTAACAATGTACTACTAATGTATGTTTTCAAATGTGTAAAATTAACGGCATCTTGATATGTTCTTGTATACATGTGAACTGTTATTTTGAATGTTTAGAAATACCGTGATATGGTAAAAGTGAAAGTAATGTTAAAAAATTTGTTATTCGTGTGACTGTAAAGATTAAATCATGGCTGAATATGTGTTAAAGGTTGAATGATGTAGTTAGGCTCTCTGACGCTACACTTTAGAGTTAGCCACTTTCAGAATAGTACCTCAGGGTCTAGAGTTGAAATTAGGGTGTGTTAAGAGGTCTCGTATGTTGAATTTTAACACGTTAGTGTTTTGATTGTAGGAGGAAGTGTTGAACACATAGACAGAAACACATTCGTGTTTGGTGTTTTTTACAACACATGTCAGAGAGCACGGGGAGAGATAATTAAAATAGTCATGAATGAAATAAGAATGTTAAGAAAAGTATATTCTATATGTTATTTGCAATGTCATTCTGTAACATTTCATTAAACTAGTTTTCCTTCCAGATCTCTGGAAGGAACCAGAATTGAATAAAGCTCCTGTTTTGATGCAGTACAGATGAAAAAGAAAAAAGATTGTTGTATATTCCGGGAGCTGCTATTGTAACAAATTTCTTTCTTTTAAAATTTTCTAGTTTCTAGCTAAGTTATGATTGTTAAAGGTTGGCCTCGCGTTAGTTTCTAGAGCTAAAAGTTTTCAACAAGGTCGTTTTAGACCTCAGTTTCAAACTAATTAACTCTGGCGGGAAGTATGTAAGGATCTTAAGTTTTACTAACGTTTATTTTATTTTAAATCTTTACTATCACTTCTTATTTTCTACTTCCGGCCAGAATTATAAGCGTGAAGGAGTTTATGCAAAGTTGTCTGGCGAACGCCAAGTATTTAAGTGTGGCCTTTTTGCCAAGCAGAAGAGAGGAAGCCGTGAGTTCGAAGCAGGCCGCTTACCTTAGAAGTTACGCAGTTGCTACTTTGCCTTCCAGGCCAGAGGTTTTAATCCTCTTGATAAATTAAACGTATTGTAGTGTTCACAGTCTCTGTGCTACATACGCTTTCCTGTTATTATAAGGCCAATCTTATTCTAAAGTTAAATTAGAGTTTAGTTTTATTTTGATATCTTTTAAGTTAGACCCCGAGTGGAGGGTCATTGTATTCCGAAGTACGGAAGTCATTGTATATAAAGAAAAAAAATAAAGGGTTTTGTATACCCTTCGTCTGTATCCTGTCTACTTACTACAATTAGTGAACATAGCTTTAGTAAGCTCTCTGTTCTAGTCAGGTCATTGTATGTTTCCGAAGAAGGTTAGAAGAAACATTGAACCTGATAAGTTAGTACGGCATTTAAGAATTCCACAGAAGACTGTGATGTGATTTCCATGGTGTGCACACAATATTTGATTTCGACTCAAGAAATATAAAGTCAGGAAAGAAATATAAAGAAATAATTTCAGCCTTATTTGAAAAATGTTTGGCTTATCAAATGTTTCGAACACAAATTTTGTTGTCCTTGCCACGAGGAATTTTGTGGGCTTGGGCTGACTATGTCAGACAAGTAAGCATAAATAACAACAACAACATAATACTGGAAGAAATGTTACTATGGACAATTTCTTTACTTCGTTTAATTAATAGAAATGTAAGAACTAAAGGTTGATGTTGATGTATTTAATTATGGCAAAGCACACGAGGGCTATCTGCCTAAAGGGAGGGATGCCTTTCGTGGAGGACTTTCTAAGGGAAACTGGCTCGTATACACGTTACACATGGGGAAAACCACGAAAACGCCCATGCAGCCAGCCCGTTCGCGGGATTCGAACCTCAGACCGAACTACCAGTGTTCAGCGTCTTTACCGCTCGGCCGCTGGTGGGCCAAAAAAAAAAAAAAAAAAAAAAAAAAAAAAACAGAGCTCACCAGGCGAGTGAGCGAAGGGATGTATGTATGTTCGTACGTTTGATGCGGCCGATTGCAACAAAAAGGGGAGGTGCTCAACTAAATGTTATAGTAGTCCAATATGCAAAATTTCAACATTTTCCGGCTAATCCTTTTTGAGTTGTGCGAGATACATACATATGTACGTACGTACAGATGTCAAGAACAAATACCTCTTGAACTCATTTTGGCAAAAAAAGAAACTTTATTCTGTCCGTACGCACAAAGTCATGCAAAAACTTCTTTCAGTTGCATTGGAAAGCGGTCAAAATGTATATTTTTGTTGAAATATGATATGAAAAATAATCATATATACTTCCTTTATTTCATGCAAGAAAGTAAAAATGAGTTTTAAAACGTTTTATGAAGAATTATAATCCTGTAATAAAAATTAATTTAATAAACTAAATTACAGCATATTTTATTTAAAAAAACTTTAAAAATGGCAGATTTTTTTCCCTTTAACTAGGTTGGGGTCAAAATGTTCGCATAATGTAATTAGAGGTAGACTGAAAATGCAGTAATGCTAATGTTCAGTTGTTCCTAAATGGACAGACATCAAATATAAAAAAAAAACTATGTTATACTTGCATATCCTGTATTTTCTTATTTAACGGTTAAAATAACATGGCTATTTTCTGTGCTATAACTATATTTTAGATGATTTTACTATGCATGTTACAGTCTATTAATGTAATTTTACTACCTCTTTCACAGTGGATCTTTCACATTTCCACTTCTCAACCTTTCCTATCTCTTCAAAGTATAGTATGTCACAGTCATTTACTGCGGAGGAAAAAGTCTACAGTATAGTACATAATGTAAGAAAACACAGAATGCAAAGAAAAAAAAATAATAGAACATAATGAGGCATTTCTGAATATAAACAAGACGAATTGCACACGATTAAAGAGGTTTTTTTTTTATTTTCCTGCGCAAGCTTCATGAAAGCTGTATTTACTTTGTGGCTCGTGTTTATTTACTAAAAACAAATAATCGTCGTAAAAGAAAATAAGTACTTTATTTAAAAGATCAAATAATAACAGTGACGTGAAATAATACTATTTTACATAATTCTTCACATCATGGGAGCACATATTCATTCTTTTAAAGCAGTAAACGCTCAAACTCGGGTCTTTGGCTTTCTCCTTTTTGTCTTTGGCAGTGGCGTAGCAAGCGTAACTGGCGCCCGGGGCAAAATAACTTTTTGCGCCCCCCCCCACAAAAAAAACTTTCAGTAATATAATGTATAGAATATATTCGTAATAAGAAAATAATGCAAATAATAATAAAATGCTGAATCTGCCATAAAATACTCAAAAATATATAAAGATTAGTCACTACCTAACTGCACTAGCCTTGGATTCGGAAATGCATCTGTGTCGGCGGAAAAATCTGACCTACGATGATCTAGAATTAGTTAAAAAGGTGTTATTTATTTTACATATTTATATAAGTGTTTTTAAAAAGTACAGTTTTTAAACAATTAAAAGTTTAATATACATTATAGATAACACAGATATGTGGCAACTTACCTACTACAACTCAACTCTGCCAGTCTGATAACCCATAGCAACCAAAAACAAAAAATAATATTTGTTCCATTCAATTGTTATAATTGTTTAACGATCTGTCTCAAAAAAATTGTACTACCATAATTGGTGACACGTATTTATTACGAATGGCAACCTTCAATGTTGCACAAGTATGGAGTTTATATGTCTAAATTCTGAGCAGCAGTAAGTTATTCAGTGTGATGAGATGCAACGTAAGACATTCACCTTGTCATTTCAAGCTTTTTGCCGCATTCCGGTGAGTCAACATATTTCTGTCATAATTTCAGCGGATATATGTATCGTCTGCTGCATTTGAGCCTCCAATTTCTCTGATTTCGAGTACCAAGAAACTGTGTCACTATATACATATTCATTATTTTTCTATACATATTATTACTGTACATATTTGATTGATCTAAAGTGGTTGACAACGATGCTGCTTCACAATTGGCGCGAGTGGCAGTTAAGCCACCATCTTTTTGTCGCCGAGACCCTCGTTATGGTTCATTCAATTGGATGCGCAGTTTAAATTGAGTCACATTACTGCCGACGAAACTCAATGTTATACAGTGATCGCTGCGTTAGAATCAGAGGTACTGCAATCAGCTCATGAAATAATTTTGAATCCATCGACGACGGACAAATACAAATCTTTAAAAAAAAAATTAATTTCTGTTTATGAAGAATCCGAGACAGTTAAAATCGAGCAGCTGTTGCATGATTTACGGTTGGGTGATATGAGGCCTTCTCACTTGCTGTCTAAATTGTCAGATTTAGTCGCCGGTAACCTAACGGATAACATTCTTAAAACATTATGGATGAATAGACACCCATTTAACATGCAAACTATTTTAGCGGCCAGTAGCGAGCCACTTAAAAATCTTCCCGAAATCGCTGATAAAATTCACGAGATGGCCATTCCAGCGCAAATACACGCAGTGCAGGCTCCTGGTCCAGGTATTGTGGCGTTACAAGCTTATATTGATGATCTGTCCAAACAAGTTGCTCAATTAGTAGTCATCCAAGCTGAACCTTTTCAGCGCAACCGCTCCGCATCACGTGGTCGAAATACACGCTGTAGCCAACTGAGGAAACGTTATCAAAGCCCTCCTCCGAGTCATAATAGTCATAATACAGGGAAGACCCAATCCTCCTAGTCCCATGACCATATGATTATGAAAGGTCGACCCCTTCCCCCCAACCAAGAAAAAGAAAGACCAAAAGAAAGAAAGAAGAGAAAAAGAAGCTAATTATCTAAAAATAATTGGAGGTTAATTAAAAATAAGGAAGAGACATACAAACAACGAAGCACAACACCAACATTCAAAATCCAAAAACAATGAAAAACCCCACGAGCAAACAGAGTGGCTGAAACTTTCAAGAAATATTCATTCACATGAATTTTCGGAACAGGCACAGGCGGTCCAAAGCCATCGAGGAATTCCCAATTTAAATAACCTGCAGAAGGTCAAACCGAATTCCCTACAGTATTACCTTAATAGCATATTATTTGTATAATCATAATTCTATTTAAACTATTCATTTATTTTAAAAATTTACTTTAATAGTCCTACTACTATCTGAATTCAAATGTATTAATTATCCTTAATAATCATAGAAAAAAAAGCTCCAGGACTGCCAATAACCGAAACTGGAAAAATTTAAGATTGCCATGTATCATATTAAAACCCTAGTAATTACTCCTATTAAGAACAGAATATAAGAAAAATTTTAAAACTTTAAAATTTCAGAACATTTTAAAATCAAAAAACTACAATTAAAAAAATATAAAAATTCCATAAAATTTAAAATTTAAAAATCAAAATCCTAAAACTCAAAAACCACTAATTTCGATAATTTAAATCTGGTAATCCATCAGGATTCTCAACATTTGCAAGGCCATATCTATGTAACAATCAACTGCATTTCTTCGAAATACCGCATGTACAAAACATCCACAATGCATTAAAAATAAAACACTACACAGAAAAATTTCAAAATTTTCGTAGTAAACCTATAAATACTCATAACTGAAAAATATAATACATATAATCAAAAGATAAATATACACAATACTAAACAAATATTCCAAATTCAATATTAGAATTGATCAAATCCATTGCACATTTAGAATATGTTTTTACGATTTTCAAGTTCCATGACTTATCTCCCAAACATTTCTTTCTCAAATTTTCCAATAAGGAAGATTCAAGAAGTGATCTGCGTTACCAACTTGATGGCAATGACCACACAAGTCTGAATTTTGTAAATTAAATCTCGAGAGGTACGCGGGAAATCTTCCATGCCCAGTTAAAAACTGGTTTAAATCAATATTACTAATTGGTCGCATACCATTTTGAATTTTAATAGACTTCAAAAGACCCACGCACCTCTCTGATTCATTCCATCTAGTAGTATTCCAAATATCATTATAAAAATTGTTCATGTTTCTAATTGCATAACTTCTCAAACCAGAAATTTCTCTTTATATTCACAATCATCATTAGTGGTCGCCTCTTTAGCCAGCACGTCGGCCCTTTCATTTCCAAAAAAGCCAACATGTGCTTTTATCCAGTGTAAATGAATGCACATATTCTGCATCAAAAATTTCAATAGACATTTAATATCAAATATAATAAATTAGTAGGACGGGCCGAGGTCAAGGATTGAAGCAAAGACATACAATCAGTATATATATGAATAGAATCAACACAAGTCAAAATTTTCTTAACCCATTGAAGGGCTTTAAGTAAAGCACAGCATTCCGATTGAAATACAGAATTATAATTATTAAGCTTATATTTTTTATTTTCAATTTCAGTTCCATAATGATAAATCACAAATGCTGCACCCAATTTATCATCTTGCCTGGACCCGTCAGCATAAATATCCAATTCTCCGACTATTGGGAGTTTACAATCAAATTCAAAAACACATAAATCAGAAGGATGTACCAAAATATTATTAATTCTTTCAAACATATGCCTTGTAATCAAAATATCTTTATACAATTTAAAATCAAGTCTACCAGTTCTGAACAAAAAATTTTCAAAATATAATTTATATAAAATTGAAAAGGCGGCGTGCCGGTTAGAACGCAGAGCACCTCAGTTGAGACAGTACGGAAACATCTTGTAATCATTAAGCACCAGCTCCTCTGTATCGCATCGAGTTTGTTCCTCAACCTGACCAAATCCCCGGCACTGGATCCCCAGGCACCAATTCCATAGAAAACCCTAGGAGATAATTACATTATTCAGAATATCTTTAAGAATGCATGATTTGTTACAAAGTGTCTCACTAGAAAAAGGATCTCCTGTAAAACATTAACATATTGTTGCGTGCGTACGGGTTCCTTATGAAATGAATGCACAAGTCCGATGAAAAATGAACAAAAATTTATTATTATCACAACAAAAATGCTTAAATTTTCTCAAATTATCATGCAGTATTACAATATCTCACAGTAGTTTTCTTTTAACTACTCAAATGTCCAATAGAACGTAATTCAAAACAGCTAAAGAACGCTAATCCGCGAATTCGCTACAATCAACAACAGTACAATCGCTACAATCAACAATAGTTTTCTAAACAACAACAAACTAAGCAACTGCTCAAACTGAGATGTTTTTCTTCTTTTATAAGATTTTAAAATCACGCGCTAGAATTTTCCAGCACTTTCTCGAAATCAAAAAGAGATATTTATTTATTTAACGCACACGCTCTTGTATTTTAATTTTTCCGGCTTAGCTTTCTTTTAATATTCGTCACGCGCTGCACTGCGCGAGAAATAAAACCATTTAATTTATAATTGAACTAACATTAGCTTTTTAAATACCAAATTCGTATCACTGCCCCCTTCCCAAGGACTGCACGTCCCGGGCAGTACAATCCCTGGATAGGAAGCTAAACTTACAACTGTGGCATAAACATTACTTTACAATATCAAACAATATAAACAATAAATGCAATAACTAACTTAAACAAATCAAATGCTATCAAATACTAAATACAAAACAAATACTAAATACAAATCAAATACTAAATGCAAATCAAATACTAAATACAAATCAAATACTAAATGCAAATCAAATATTAAATACAAATCAAATCAAATACACATTTATAAACAAAAAGGACCATGGTCTGATACTATTTACAATTATTTACATTACGTACTATGGCCATAGTAATGAGCTAACCTGTCGTAATGAACGACTTTAGGCTTAG